GGCGGTACAGGGGCCCATGACAGATTACGGGGGCAGCAGCATGAGGAGTCGGTACGGGGGCCCATGGCAGATTACGGGCCTGGCAGCAGCAATGGAGGCCCGTAATCTGCCAGCACCCTATGACAAAATGGAACCCACCAGCAGTGTGAGGAGACCTGAAAGTGGCACATGGCAGAGTGTGGCGATGGAGACAGCAGCAATGGGAGGCCGTACAGGGACCCATGAGACACTCTGGACCTGGCAGCAGCATGAGGAGGCGGTACAGGGGGCCCATGGCAGATTACGGGCCTGGCAGCAGCAATGGGAGGCCCGTAATCTGCCAGCACCCTATGACAAAATGGAACCCACCAGCAGTGTGAGGAGACCTGAAAGTGGCACATGGCAGAGTGTGGCGATGGAGACAGCAGCAATGGGAGGCCGTACAGGGACCCATGAGACACTCTGGACCTGGCAGCAGCATGAGGAGGCGGGTACAGGGGCCCATGGCAGATTACGGGCCTGGCAGCAGCAATGGGAGGCCCGTAATCTGCCAGCACCCTATGACAAAATGGAACCCACCAGCAGTGTGAGGAGAGGAGACCTGAAAGTGGCAATGGCAGAGTGTGGCGATGGAGACAGCAGCAATGGGAGGCCGTACAGGGACCCATGAGACACTCTGGACCTGGCAGCAGCATGAGGAGGCGGCGGTACAGGGGCCCATGGCAGATTACGGGCCTGGCAGCAGCAATGGGGGGGCCCGTAATCTGCCAGCACCCTATGACAAAATGGAACACCACCAGCAGTGTGAGGAGACCTGAAAGTGGCACATGGCAGAGTGTGGCGATGGAGACAGCAGCAATGGGGGAGGCCGTACAGGGACCCATGACACACTCTGGACCTGGCAGCAGCATGAGGAGGAGGCGGTACAGGGGGGGGCCCATGGCAGATTACGGGCCTGGCAGCAGCAATGGGAGGCCCGTAATCTGCCAGCACCCTATGACAAAATGGAACCCACCAGCAGTGTGAGGAGGAGACCTGAAAGTGGCACATGGCATGGCAGAGTGTGGGCGATGGAGACAGCAGCAATGGGAGGCCGTACAGGGACCCATGACACACTCTGGACCTGGCAGCAGCATGAGGAGGCGGTACAGGGGCCCATGGCAGAGTACGGCGAAGCGGCAAGCAGCTTAAATGGGAAGGCCCGTATACAGCACCCTATGAGGCCTATGGAAAAAATGTGAGGAGACCTGAACATGTGGCACATTGGCAGTGGGGCATGATTCATGGCGGATTTAGTCAGTTGTGTCAGGAACTGGTGGTTTGAAATCCAGACTAATCCACGCCTGATTCATTTTCAGGAGGCGGTCAAAACGTGAGTCTCTCCACACTTTGGGTGGACAGTCGTGTCCTCCGCGCAGAGTTACAATACCTCTGCCGCACTAAACACGGCGCGCATCCGATGCCACGCTACTGGCCGGGCATGACAGCCTTTCAAGGGCAAATTCAGCTAGTTGGGGCCAAAGGTCAAGTTTCGTTGCCCAGTAGTCAGGGGATTTGTCTACCTCGGTTGGCAGGGTGCTGTCCAAGTAGGCCCAAGCCTGTTGTTTGAGGTCCTGCTCCAGGTCCACCTGATGCTGCTGCTGCTGCGGCTGGTTAGTAGTTTCCTCACTGCGCTGGTGAAGAAAGCTACTCATCATCGACTGCAGACTGAGGCAGCCGCTGCTGGTGGAGCTGCACTGCTCCTACCACCCCACCCCTCCCCTGCTGCCATGGCAGCGGAACAGAGGACGCACAGGGCCCACAGTGTCTGAGGATGGACGTTGGCGCAGAAAGGCAGAGACCCAACTGACTACATAGGTGGGTTTTTATAGTACGTTATTTTGGCCTCCCTCTCAGCAGGTGTGAAAAAGGCCACCATTTTGAACGGTAGCGAGGGTCCAACAAGGTGGACAGCCAAAAGTCATCCCTCTGTCTGATGGTTATTATTCGGCTGTCGCTACGCAAGCAACACGAGCATGCTATGGGCCATTTGTGCCAAGGAATGCGAGGGGACTCCCTGCCTCCATCTCCACAGCATACTGCCACGGTGCGTCTGGGTCCTCTGTCTCATCCTCCTCCTCCTCTACCAGATGCTCCTGCTCCTCCTCCACTCCTGTCCGCTGAGTGGAAAAAACCACCCATTTCACTCAATAATTCCTGAGCACCAATGTCCTCCTCTACCTCCTCCTCTTCTTCCTGTCCTGGAACCACAGGGGTCATGTGGCGTTGAGATCTGTGCGCCACGTCTACCGCACCCTGACCAGCCATTGTTAACAGCATTTGTTCAGAGGACGTGCAACAGGGAATGACGTCGTTCATCCCCATAGTCCTGCCGACTCACGAATAGCGTGGCCTCCTCAAAGGGGCCTGAGCAAGCGGCAGGTGTCACGCATGAGCTGCCAATGGCTGACATCTAAGTTACACAGGGGAGTACCTTTATCCGCTTGTAACATCAGGAAATCGGTGATGGCCTTTCGCTGTTCGTAAAGGCGGTTAACATATGTAGGGTTGAATTCCACCTTGTTGCAACGTCACAGCATGAGGAGTCGGTACGGGGGCCCATGGCAGATTACGGGCCTGGCAGCAGCAATGGGAGGCCCGTAATCTGCCAGCACCCTATGACAAAATGGAACCCACCAGCAGTGTGAGGAGACCTGAAAGTGGCACATGGCAGAGTGTGGCGATGGAGACAGCAGCAATGGGAGGCCGTACAGGGACCCATGAGACACTCTGGGCCTGGCAGCAGCATGAGGAGGCGGTACAGGGGCCCATGGCAGATTACGGGCCTGGCAGCAGCAATGGGAGGCCCGTAATCTGCCAGCACCCTATGACAAAATGGAACCCACCAGCAGTGTGAGAGGAGACCTGAAAGTGGCACATGGCAGAGTGTGGCGATGGAGACAGCAGCAATGGGAGGCCGTACAGGGACCCATGAGACACTCTGGACCTGGGCAGCAGCATGAGGAGGCGGTACGGGGGCCCATGGCAGATTACGGGCCTGGCAGCAGCAATGGGAGGCCCGTAATCTGCCAGCACCCTATGACAAAATGGAACCCACCAGCAGTGTGAGGAGACCTGAAAGTGGCACATGGCAGAGTGTGGCGATGGAGACAGCAGCAATGGGAGGCCGTACAGGGACCCATGAGACACTCTGGACCTGGCAGCAGCATGAGGAGGCGGCATGACAATTCAGGGGCCCATGGCAGATTACGGGCCTGGCAGCAGCAATGGGAGGCCCGTAATCTGCCAGCACCCTATGACAAAAAAATGGAACACACCAGCAGTGTGAGGAGACCTGAAAGTGGCACATGGCAGAGTGTGGCGATGGAGACAGCAGCAATGGGAGGCCGTACAGGGACCCATGAGACACTCTGGACCTGGCACCTGCAGCAGCATGAGGAGGCGGTACGGGGGCCCATGGCAGATTACGGGCCTGGCAGCAGCAATGGGAGGCCCGTAATCTGCCAGCACCCTATGACAAAATGGAACCCACCAGCAGTGTGAGAGGAGAGACCTGAAAGTGGCACATGGCAGAGTGTGGCGATGGAGACAGCAGCAATGGGAGGCCGTACAGGGACCCATGAGACACACTCTGGACCTGGCAGCAGCATGAGGAGGCGGTACAGGGGGCCCATGGCAGATTACGGGCCTGGCAGCAGCAATGGGAGGCCCGTAATCTGCCAGCACCCTATGACAAAAAAATGGAACACACCAGCAGTGTGTGAGAGACCTGAAAGTGGCACATGGCAGAGTGTGGCGATGGAGACAGCAGCAATGGGAGGCCGTACAGGGACCCATGAGACACTCTGGACCTGGCAGCAGCAGCATGAGGAGGCGGTACAGGGGCCCATGGCAGATTACGGGCCTGGCAGCAGCAATGGGAGGCCCGTAATCTGCCAGCACCCTATGACAAAAAAATGGAACCACCAGCAGTGTGAGGAGACCTGAAAGTGGCACATGGCAGAGTGTGGCGATGGAGACAGCAGCAATGGGAGGCCGTACAGGGACCCATGAGAGACTCTGGACCTGGCAGCAGCATGAGGAGGCGGTACAGGGGCCCATGGCAGATTACGGGCCTGGCAGCAGCAATGGGAGGCCCGTAATCTGCCAGCACCCTATGACAAAAAATGGAACCCACCAGCAGTGTGAGGAGACCTGAAAGTGGCACATGGCAGAGTGTGGCGATGGAGACAGCAGCAATGGGAGGCCGTACAGGGACCCATGAGACACTCTGGACCTGGCAGCAGCATGAGGAGGAGGCGGTGGTACAGGGGCCCATGGCAGATTACGGGCCTGGCAGCAGCAATGGGAGGCCCGTAATCTGCCAGCACCCTATGACAAAAAATGGAACCCACCAGCAGTGTGAGGAGACCTGAAAGTGGCACATGGCAGAGTGTGGCGATGGAGACAGCAGCAATGGGAGAGGCCGTACAGGGACCCATGAGACACTCTGGACCTGGCAGCAGCATGAGGAGGCGGTACAGGGGCCCATGGCAGATTACGGGCCTGGCAGAGCAGCAATGGGAGGCCCGTAATCTGCCAGCACCCTATGACAAAATGGAACCCACCAGCAGTGTGAGGAGACCTGAAAGTGGCACATGGCAGAGTGTGGCGATGGAGACAGCAGCAATGGGAGGCCGTACAGGGACCCATGAGACACTCTGGGCCTGGCAGCAGCATGCATGAGGAGGCGGTACAGGGGGGGCCCATGGCAGATTACGGGCCTGGCAGCAGCAGCATGGGAGGCCCGTAATCTGCCAGCACCCTATGACAAAAAAATGGAACACACCAGCAGTGTGAGGAGACCTGAAAGTGGCACATGGCAGAGTGTGGCGATGGAGACAGCAGCAATGGGAGGCCGTACAGGGACCCATGAGACACTCTGGACCTGGCAGCAGCATGAGGAGGCGGGTACGGGGGCCCATGGCAGATTACGGGCCTGGCTAGCAGCAATGGGAGGCCCGTAATCTGCCAGCACCCTATGACAAAATGGAACCCACCAGCAGTGTGAGGAGACCTGAAAGTGGCACATGGCAGAGTGTGGCGATGGAGACAGCAGCAATGGGAGGCCGTACAGGGACCCATGACAGACACTCTGGACCTGGCAGCAGCATGAGGAGGCGGTACAGGGGCCCATGGCAGATTACGGGCCTGGCAGCAGCAATGGGAGGCCCGTAATCTGCCAGCACCCTATGACAAAATGGAACCCACCAGCAGTGTGAGGAGACCTGAAAGTGGCACATGGCAGAGTGTGGCGATGGAGACAGCAGCAATGGGAGGCCGTACAGGGACCCATGAGACTCTGGACCTGGCAGCAGCATGAGGAGGCGGTACGGGGGGCCCATGGCAGATTACGGGCCTGGCAGCAGCAATGGGAGGCCCGTAATCTGCCAGCACCCTATGACAAAAATGGAAAACCCACCAGCAGTGTGAGGAGACCTGAAAGTGGCACATGGCAGAGTGTGTGGCGATGGAGACACAAGCAGCAATGGGAGGCCGTACAGGGACCCATGAGACACTCTGGACCTGGGCAGCAGCATGAGGAGGCGGTACGGGGGCCCATGGCAGATTACGGGGCCTGGCAGCAGCAGCAATGGGAGGCCCGTAATCTGCCAGCACCCTATGACAAAATGGAAACACACCAGCAGTGTGTGAGGAGGACCTGAAAGTGGCACATGGCAGAGTGTGGCGATGGAGACAGCAGCAATGGGAGGCCGTACAGGGACCCATGAGACACTCTGGACCTGGCAGCAGCATGAGGAGGCGGGTACGGGGGCCCATGGCAGATTACGGGCCTGGCAGCAGCAATGGGAGGCCCGTAATCTGCCAGCACCCTATGACAAAAAATGGAACACACACCAGCAGTGTGAGGAGACCTGAAAGTGGCACATGGCAGAGTGTGGCGATGGAGACAGCAGCAATGGGAGGCCGTACAGGGACCCATGAGACACTCTGGACCTGGCAGCAGCATTGAGGAGGCGGGGGTACGGGGGCCCATGGCAGATTACGGGCCTGGCAGCAGCAATGGGAGGCCCGTAATCTGCCAGCACCCTATGACAAAATGGAACCCACCAGCAGTGTGAGGAGGAGACCTGAAAGTGGCACATGGCAGAGTAGTGTGGCGATGGAGACAGCAGCAATGGGAGGAGACCTGAAAGTGGCAACATGGCAAAGTGTGGCGGATGGAGACAGTCAGCAATGGGGACGGCCGTAAGTAGGGACCCATGAGAGACTCTGGACCTTGGCAGCAGCGTATGAGGATGGCTGCCGGTGGTACGGGGGCCCCATGGCAGATTACGGGCCTGGCAAGCAGCAATGGGAGGGCCCGTGAATCTGCCAGTCACCCTATGGTGACAAAAATGGAAGACCCACCACAGGTGTGAGGAGATCCTGAAAGTGGCAGCCCATGGCAGCAGTTTGCTTGGCGATTGGAGACATGGGCCCCCCTGCCCACGCTTGACTTTTCTGGCCACATAGTTCGACATTACGGCTAAGGTTTACTTCCTCGGGCGGTCTTGAGACGAAATGAATTGCCAGCTCACCGAGGCCGAGTAGGAAACTGTTGCCCGAGTACTCCTCACTGGCTGGACTCGCTACTTCCTACGTGCACTCCGGCCACCACTAACTGGCCGGTGGTGGTAGGCTGCAGTGGAGTGGT